ACCGTTATTTAATTTTCTGTACATTAATGATTTCGAAAAACAACGATTGTTATGATCTCGTGGAAATTCAATAACATTTGCTGAGATTCTACATCAATTCTGCATAAATTATGTGATCAAAAATTTTAGAATTAAAGGGAGCTGGCCATAGTGCAGGATCATTTATATCTATTTGAACGTCACCAGTAGTGGTAGAACTAGGAGACTGAGATATTATTTCTAGTTGTCTATTTTCTTCAGGCGTTTCTACCATTTTCTCGTCCAAAAAAGAATTACTACCAACTAATGACAAAGGGCGACCACTTTAATGTTTTCAATTCGGCAAAAAATGTATTACTTAATAATTTTTACGACCCAGATTTGCATTTTTATAAATAAAAATAATTTTAATTTGCAATATTTTATTAAATATAATGCGCCCCTGGCTGATGCCCGGTCCGCCCATAGCTTGGGCCGGCCCTGAATAAACCTAAAAAAATCTAAAAATCTTCCATACGAAACAGCCTAGTTTCGTGCCTGTTCCATTTCCTAACTTATGATAATTGAAAAAAAAAAGTTATACATTTGTTAATCTAAGGAAAAGTTTCAGATACAGTTGCCTTTAATTTAAACATGGACGTATTAACAGACGGATGTTCTAACCCCTGACGAGTAACGCTTATTTGTTCACACACTGTGGTATTTAGCTGTTTGTGAATATCCGTGGGATCATTCTGACTTGATATCAATGGTTAAGTGTTTGTCAATTTTTTTGTTGCAAATGTATGAAAATGTATTAGTTAAAAATTATCTTCTTAAAAAGTCGCACAGGATTTTTTATCTTGATATACCTGGCTTTGGAAAAACCTTAGGAACTAGGACCTCTATGCCTAGAAACAAACCCTATTGCTTCTAAAGTGTTTGTGGCAGTTTTATCACGTACTGCTTATCTGAAATTAGCATGTGGAAAAAAACCAAGTTGCAGTGTTTTTTTCTGTGTGTCTGCCTCAGGATGGTATCTGCCTCCATTTGTTTGTTACGCAAGGTGGATTACCAGCTACTTTTATGCAACAACAAAGTCAGGATGGATGGAAGACGCAGTTTTTAAATCATGGTTTAAACATTTCATTAAAAACGTTAAGCATATTGAGAAACTGTGCTCCTTATTTATGATGGTTATAATAGTCATCTAACTTATGGAAGAGTGAAGTCCACAATTGCAAATAATATCATAATACTATGCTTGCCACCTAACACAAGTCATGCTCTTCAGCCTCTAAACGTTTGAAGAACATTCTGGAGAGATGGTTTAGACAGAGTCGTCACCAGAAAGTAAACAAGGAGATTTTTCCTTGCCTCGTAAAGAATTTCTATTGCTAATTAACAAAAAAAAAGTACAGTAAGTACAACAATGAAGCAGTTCGACAATTGTTTCAGCTGTCAAGCTAGTGGAAAGCAATCAAAAGCCAGTGGTTTCAGCTTCAAACGTTTTGGAGTCAGAAGTACACAAACCTAAGTTAAAATTCAGAGACCCTGAACACTGACAGCAGTAACGGATCCAGGGGAGGAGGATGGGGGTATGCAACCCCCCTCCCCCACCACCAGAATCTGAGAAAAAACTATGGGGGAGGGGAAAGTAGGGGATAATTTCTACGTTATGGATAATTCATGTATGTGTAAACTTTGACCAAGTCACTGATCGTTAGAGTGTGCTTTTTTCCCAGTTTTTTTCTTTTTATTTGCCTTTTTAATCAAGTATTTTGTTATGGTAATATGACGCAATACAACATTTTTAGTATCCGCAAGGACTTTGACTGCTAAAATAATTTTCAAAAAATTATAAACCATTTAAAATATCTGATATTATTTCTATAATTTAAAGGAGCGTTTATCAAATATAATCTTTTAATGCGTTTTATCATATACTATCTATTTAAAAAAATATGGCAAGGTCAACTTTCTATTATAGGTTGTGGGCTTCCTTTTAATTGCGTTGGTGTCCAAGCCGCACAAGGATGATTAGAAAAACAAAATCTTATTCAATTAAAATTGTGCTTTAGAATAAACTTGTAATTTTTTTTCAAACGTTAATTTGACTTCACAAGTTGTTTGTCGGCTATTAGTTGTCCCGGAACATTGCAAGTGATTTTTCACTACCTTACAGACTAGCTAGAGATCTGAAACTTCCAGCATTTGTATAAATTTAATAAACGTACATGTTAAAACTGTTTTCAGAGCCAACTGGAGAACTCTACTTTTATGAATTTCTTTTTTTTTTTTTGAATTTGCTTTATCTTTCAGACTTTACTTTTTGATTTAACTGTATCTTGACAGCATTTGTGTAGTCCCAATGAACATGCATGTTAAATTTGTTTCCCTGGCAGAGGGGGTCGTACCGTTTTTTTTTCTCTAATATTTTGTTTTTCTTTAAAGTTGAGGTTTTAAACTTTTTAGAAAGATTTTTAACAAAAAAGCTTTGAAAAGACATTTTTTTGATTTATTTGTTTTAGTACAAATTTTT